TTAAACTTACACATGTTACTTGATAAGTAGCTTTGTAAAGTAACGAAACCACACTTCTTATAAATATGTTATTAGCGGGAGCAACTTCAATAGCGGGTAGGGAGGCTTTACCGTTAGTGTGGTGCACCGTTGCTTCTATTGTAACTTACTAATGGAACACCACTGCTACCATTGTAACTTACCAATGGAACACCACTGCTACCATTGTAACTTACTAATGGAACACCACTGCCACCATTGTAACTTACCAATGGAACACCACTGCCACCATTGTAACCTTAGCCCCCGTCACCCTTGCACTCCTTGGTGTTCGGCCAACAAGTTGTACAAAGGCTTTAACCTGCAGCACATCATGTAATGGCTGACCTCCGCACTCAGTGATGCTGCACGAGGTCTCCTGTGGACACTCACAAGCTTGGCCAAGACGAACAAATCCACTACGGGCTCACCATTGCCCGTGTAACTTGGAACTTTCCGAGTAGCTGAATCTAAAACAACAATATACTCTAGTTGCTCTTACGGGCTCACTATAGCCCGTGCTACATGGACACTTCCTTATGAGTAGCTAAATCTAAAACAACAACTACAATATAGTTGCTCAGTCACAATAGAGCCAAATTAGAGGAAGGAAGGTCCACTGTGATGTGGTACGAACAAGCCACTGGGTACTCCTCTTACAAGCCTGGCAAAAAGATATCCAGAGACACAGGAGTAGCCATACACAGACTGAGACTTGGGTACAAGTGCTGCTGGGAGGTAATAAATCCAATAGTTAAAGAGTGTCACATCTGTGGAACAGGTGCAGAGGTACCACTATTAAATTAGTTTCTGGAATGTTAAGCAACTGAAGCCCTGTGCATCAAACTCAACCTTCATGCAACAAGAGCAGCTGCATTAGATGCAAAATACACAGCAACTACAATAGTTAGAAAAGCAGTTGAAGAACGGGACACACTAATGAACACTGCATTTATATCCGCCACCGAGATAAAGTTATTAAAACAAGACTAAAACCAGTATGCAATAAACAGAAGCGGAAAAGAAAGAGGAGAAAACCCCACCTCCATTTAAAACTTTTACCCAAATATTACAGGAACAAGATTTTCGCGAATAACCGAACTCAATTACAGGCTCACTATAGCCCGTGCTTCATGGATATTTCGTTCTGAGTAGCTAAATCTAAAACAACAACAACAATAACAATCTAGTTGCTCCCCCGCTCCTGTGCCAGGTAAGTTCACTACGGGCTCACTATAGCCCGTGCTACTTGGAACTTTTGTTCCGAGTTCCTGAATCTAAAACAACAACTCTAGTTGCAATTATCTCAACTTTCCCCATCTTTTCCCCATCAGCCTCTTTTGTCAAGTTGTTGACGACTTCAATGAAATGCATCATTTATTTAACTATTTCCATAAGATTAAGTAACATTTGCCTACCATATTTCATTCGGCTTGTGAACAAGCCGAATTTCGTACAAAAAATAACGTGTCGATTGACAACAGTAATTAATTTAATTTATAAGTAATTATATATTAAAAAAAAAACTTATTTACCAAACATACATAGACCTAGTGATCCTTAATGGTGTCTACTCTGAGTAAAATTTGACCTAGCGAAGTTAGTAAATTGTATCTTTATTGTAATTAGAACAAGGCCTTTCATAATATATATTTTTGGAAAAAAATTTCTACTGACGAGTTTTGTATTAATATTGTTGTTTAAAACTTGCTTTTTCTTGTGTATTTTCGTTTAATTAGCTTAAGGAATATTTAACTTTTTCATGGACTATTATACACAAATAAAGAGTCGTTGCTTCATTACTTTACACAACTACATAACTGACATTTAGGTAAAATTTTAAACATTGAATAAAGTCAACAGTAACATTTATTTGTATAAAAGTACATCAAAATATATATATGTAAATAAGAACACAACATTTAAATCTCTTTACACCAGACAACACAAACACAAACATGTTAGTATGACACATGAAAGGCATACATGTATACCTCTCATGTATACCAGGCGTATGGGAACATTAGCTTGGTAAACTACACAATGATTACTTAAAAAATAAATCCAGAGAGCATATCCATTATACAGTGATATTCAGCAGCTCCGCTTAATTAGCGCAAGTTGTAGTTAACGATATATATGTAGGTAGTTCAGTGGGGTCAAGATCTGTTTGTTGTTGGTCTTCTTCTTGTGTTGTTGATGCTTCCTCTTGTGAGACGAGCCTTCTCCCTCGTCTGAGCTGTGGCTGTAACTGCTGCTGTTACTGCTGCTACTGGCAGTACTGTTGGCTGAGTGTGACCGGAGTCTGTCCTCCATCGATTCTGCGGAAACAAAAATATTTGTTTTACTCTGATTTTACGTCAAAATAAAACACAATTCTAGAAGTCATTTGGTCATTTATTTACAAACTGTTGCATAGGAATATCGATTCAGACATAAATGTGCTTATAAATACACTCTGCAGGAATTGAGAACTCGAGATCAACAAAGAATGTGAATATATTGCTCGCTACTTTGTATATTAAGTGAAAATGTTTAATCAAAAATAAGGAAAATTGCATCAGTGTTTATAAATGGTAATCTGTGACTCGGATGGATAAAATATACATATATCGTCTTCAATCATCTGCAAATGGATAAATGTAGCTTTGAATCCGGTTTTCGTTCGAGCGTCGACGTGACATCCACAAAACAAACAAAACTGGCTCACCTGAGTAACGGTGAGGCGCCTCCAGCACGTCTCGTTGCTTCACCATCCTGACCGGGATCTGCTCACAGGAAACTTTCAGAGGAAAGTGATTACTGGTGTTAGCGGCGGCTTGTGTGCTGATGGCTTGGTAAGTTGGCTGGTCTTGGTGACAGATGCTGCTCTTGAAGTCTTGATGGAGATTTTCGATGCTATAATTATAGTTATGAAGTTATTTGACGTAGGAGGGATTATGTTAGTTCTTTTCCGCTCAGTGTTTAGGGCTTGGAATGATGTATAGACGAACGCGTCTGGTCTTTTATAGCCCTTGGTGGTGGTCACAGCCCTGGGGGGATGCGCAGTAGACGATGCGTAGTGACAATGAACGGAAGGTCGTTGTTTCGAGGCAAGGGGTGCAGTGGGTGGGACCTGATAACGCAGATGATACCATCTGTGGTTCACAAGTACTGGAGAATACTTTATCTCTTGTGTGTGTGTGTGTGTGTGTATGTGTGTGTGTGTGTGTGTGTGTGTGTGTGTGTGTGTGTGTGTGTGTGTGTGTGTGTGTGTGTGTGTGTGTGTGTGTGTGTGTACTCACCTATATGTACTCACCTATATGTGCTTGCAGGATCGAGCATTGACTCTTGGATCCCGCCTTTCTAGCTATCGGTTGTTTACAGCAATGACTCCTGTCCCATTTCCCTATCATACCTAGTTTTAAAAGTATGAATAGTATTTGCTTCCACAACCTGTTCCCCAAGTGCATTCCATTTTTCTACTACTCTCACGCTAAAAGAAAACTTCCTAACATCTCTGTGACTCATCTGAGTTTCCAGTTTCCACCCATGTCCCCTCGTTCTGTTATTATTACGTGTGAACATTTCATATATTTCCACTTTGTCAATTCCCCTGAGTATTTTATATGTCCCTATCATATCTCCTCTCTCCCTTCTTTTCTCTAGTGTCTGTGTGTGTGTGTGTGTGTGTGTGTGTGTGTGTGTGTGTGTGTGTGTGTGTGTGTGTGTGTGTGTGTGTGTGTGTGTGTGTGTGTGTACTCACTTAGTTGTGCTTCCGGGGGTTGAGCTCTGGCTCGTTGCGCCCGCCTCTCAATTTTCAATCAACTGATATACATTAGATTCCTGAGCCTACTGGGCCCTTTCATATCTACATTTGAAACTGTGTATGGAGTCAGCCTCCACCACATCACTTCCTAATGCATTCCATTTGTCTACTACTCTGACACTGAAAAAATTCTTTCTAACGTCTCTATGGCTCATTGGGCACTCAATTTCCACCTGTGTCCTCTAATGCGTGTACCCCTTGTGTTAAATAGTCTGTTTTTATCTACCCTATTAATTTCTTTGAGAATCTTGTATGTGGTGATCATGTCCTCCGTAACTCTTGTGTCTTCAAATGACGTGAAGTTTAATTCCTGTAGTCTCACTTCGTAGCTCATACCCCTCAGTTTGTGTACTAGTCTGGTGGATAAGCTTTGAAACTTTTCCAGTTTAGTCTTATGCTTGACTAGATATGGACTCCATGCTGGAGCTGCATACTCCAGGATTGGTCTGACATATGTGGTATACAAAGTTCTGAAGGATTCCTTACACAAGTTTCTAAAGGCCGTTCTTATGCTGGCCAGCCTGGCACTTTCCATGATATTATCCTCTTGATATGGGCTTTAGGGGACAGGTCTGGTGTGATATCAACCTCCAGATCTTCTCTCTCTCTCTCTCTCTCTCTCTCTCTCTCTCTCTCTCTCTCTCTCTCTCTCTCTCTCTCTCTCTCTCTCTCTCTCTCTCTCTCTCTCTCTCTCTGACTCTTGAAGTATTTCATCATCCAAATGATTCCTTGTTTCTAGTCTCCTGCTCCCTACACCTATCTTCATTACATTACATTTTCTTGGGTTAAACTCAAATAACCATTTGTTGCATCATTCTTTTAGCTTGTCCAGGTCTTCTTAGAACCTCAAGCTGTCTCTTCTATCTTAATCCTTCTCATAATTTTGGCATCGTCAGCAAACATTGAGAGTAATGAGTCTATACGCTCTGGGAGATCATTTACGTATATCAGAAATAGGATAGGTCCCAATTCAGAGCCCTGTGGGACTCCACTGGTAACTTCACGCCAATCTGAGGTCTCACCACTTACTGTAACTCTCTGCTTCCTATTGCTTAAGTACTCCCTTATCCACTGGAGCACCCTAGCAGTTACTCCTGCCTGTTTCTCCAGTTTATGCATCAGCCTCTTATAGGGTACTGTGTCAAAGGCTTTCCGACAGTCCAAGAAAATGCAGTCCGCTCATCCTTCTCTTTTTTGCTTAATCTTTGTCATCTGATTGTAAAATTCTATTAAGCCTGTAAGGCAAGATTTACCCTCCCTGAACCCATGTTGATGGGTTGTCACGAAGACCCTTCTCTCTAGATGTGTTACTAACTTTTTTCTCCATCACCTTGTATGGTATACAAGGTAAGGACACTGACCTGTAGTTCAGTGCCTCTTGCCTGTCGCCCTTTTTGTATATTGGGACTACATTAGCCGTCGTCCATATTTTTGGTAGGTCTCCCGTCTCCAGTGTCCAACTATACACTATGGAGAGTGGCAAGCAAAGTGCTTCTGCACACTCTTTCAGTACCCATGGTGAGATTCCTCCCGGTCCAACAGCCTTTCTCCCGTCCGGATCCAACAGATGCCTCTTGATCACATCTCTTGAATTTCGAACCATTCCAAGATCGCCTCGTTTACTGCCACCTCTCCTAACACAGTGACCTCACCTCGTTCTATTGTGAAGACCTCCTAGAACCTCTTGTTGAGTTCTTCACACACCTCTTTCTCGTTCTCTGTGTACCTGTTCTAAGTTTCATCACCTGTTCCTTCACTCTCGTTTTCCTCCTGATGTGACAGTGGAGTAGCTCTGGTTCGGTCTTGGCTTTATTAGCTATATCATTTTCATCCTTTTTCTCGGCTTCTCTTCTCACACTAACATATTCGTTCCTCGTTCTCTGGTATCTCTCTCTACTTTCTGGAGTTCTGTTATTTCGGAAGTTCCTCCACGCCCTTTTGTTCAGTTCCTTTGCTTTAATACTTGCCCTATTAAACCGCGGATTCTTCTTTTGTTTCTCGGTTTAGGGCGTGTGTGTGAGCGCGCGTGTGTGTGTGTGTGTGTGTGTGTGTGTGTGAGTGTGTGTGTGTGTGTGTGTGTGTGTGTGTGTGTGTGTGTGTGTGTGTGTGTGTGTGTGTGTGTGTGTGTGTGTGTGTGTGTGTGTGTGTGTGTGTGGCAAGGTCATTGCGACGAGTGGGCCAGAAGGTCCCAGAGTTCAAAAATTGGTTCACGCCCGAACAGAGTAACTACACACACACACACACACACACACACACACACACACACACACACACACACACACACACACACACACACACACACACACACACACACACACACACACACACACACACACACACACACACACACACACACACACACACACACACACACACACACACACACACACACACACACACACACGCACGCACGCTGATAACATCAGCGACATATGCCAGACTGGCCAACAAAGAACGGCATTCAGAATTGTGTAAGGAATCGTTCAGGACCTTGTATACCATTTAAGTCTGACCAATTCTGCAGTATGCAGCTCCAACCTGGAGTCCATACCCAGCTAAACACAAGACAAAGTTAGAGAAGATTCAGAGGTATACCATCAGACTAGCCCCAGAACCGAGCGGTATGAGCTCCGAGGAAAGGCTACGGGAACTAAACCTCCCGTCCCTGGAAGACAGAAGAGTAAGGGGAGACATGACAACCACCTACAATTCTCAGGGGAGTGACAGGGTGGACAAAGACAAACTATTTAACATAGGTGGAACACGAACAAGGGGACACAAGTGAAAAGTGCGCACCCAAATGAGCCACAGAGACATTAGAAAGATTTTTTCAATGTCAGAGTAGTTAATAAATGGAATGCATAAGGCAGTGATGTGGTGGAGGCTGACTCCATACACTGTTTCAAGTGTATATATGATAGAGCCCAGTAGGCTAAGGAATCTGTACATCAGTTGACTGACAGTTGAGAGACGGGACCAAGGAGCCAAAGCTCAACCCCCCGCAAGCACAACTAGGTAAATACAACTAGGTGAATACAAGGTCACCGGGACAAATTACTCAGCGTCAGGGCCACACAGGGCGTTATCAGGTCCCTCCCACTATCAACCTTGCTTACTACCCCAGCCTTCCTCCAAGCGTTTCTGCGCATCGTCTACTGCGCATCCTCCAGGGTTATGATCTAACCACCAAGGGGTATAAAAGACCAGACGCGTTCGTGTAACTATCATACTTAACCCGATACTCCGAGCAGCAGACTCTCACACGCCCAGTAACGTCAAGTACTTGACTTACAAGAATTGAAAATCTCCATCAAGACTTCAAGAGCAGCATCTGTCACCAAGACCAGCCAACTTACCAAGCCATCACCACACAAACCGCCGCTAACACCAGTAAACACTTTCTTCTGAAAGTTTCCTGTGAGCAGATCCCGGTCAGGATGGTGAAGCAACGAGACGTGCTGGAGGCGCCTCACCGTTACCCAGGTGAGTCAGGATGTCCTCATCTTTGCTAGACAAAGACTTACGATCCCATCGTTCCCTCTTCAGAGAGGATCGGATCGTAAGTCCTGCCTGCCGAGGGTGGTTGTAGCTGCAGTGTTTTGTAAGTTATGTGGATATTCGCATCATTTATCAATCATATATGCCTAGAGATACATGCAAGTGTATCGACGCACTCATGTATACTATGCATCCATGTACACATGGTTGTAGGTGATACGTGCACATTTTACACACGCGGGTCACATATTACTATTAAATAGCATTTATGTAATATTCCATATTTGTGAGTTAACATCTCTATCTTTCTTACAAAGCCGACAAGTCTCTAATCACTAATACTTTCTTTATCTTGATTTTCAATTGTTGCCCCAGTGTGTGTGTTCGTAAGCACACATAAGTCTAAATCGATATTCTTTTTCAAGACATTATAAACCAAAGTTAAAACCAGTTCTTGTAGAATTGTGTGTTATTTTGACGTAAGATCAGAGTACAACAAATACTTTTGTTTCCACAGAATCGATGGAGGACAGACTCCGGTCACACTCAGCCAACAGTACTGCCAGTAGCAGCAGCAGTTACAGCAGCAGCAGCAGCAACAGCAGCAGCAGCACCAGCAGCAGCAGTAACAGCAGCAGTTACAGCCACAGCTCAGACGAGGGAGAAGGCTCGTCTCACAAGAGGAAGCATCAACAACACAAGAAGAAGACCAACAACAAACAGATCTTGACCCCACTGAACTACCTACATATATATCGTTAACTACAACTTGTACTAATTAAGCGGAGCTCGTGAATATCACTGTATAATGGGTGTGCTCTCTGGATTTTCTTTTATTGTGTACTGTTGTATTAATACACGTGAATGTTAACTGAAGTAAATGTTTATAATTTATATACCTCCACTATCAGTAATATGGTTGGTCTCACGTACGTTATCTGGACCTTACTCTTAAATTAATGAACTGAAGTCCTTTTTACGTTCGCAAACTACACTTTTGGGTGCTTTTGGTGGGTTCCGAGGATCAGTATCCCCGCGACCCGGTCTCTAACTACGCCTCCTGGTTGATAGTCTGGCCAACTAGAATATTTTTGGCACCAGTCGTTTTTGGACAGGTGTTTTGTGGACAGGTGTTTTGTGGGCAGGTGTTTTGTGGACAGGTGTTTTGTGGACAGGTGTTTTGTGGACAGATGTTTTGCATATACAAATGGGGTGGGGAGGGGGGATGGTTTGACCCCGATCCGCCTATGACCATCCCAGGACTAAGACCAGTCAAGATGCAAAGTTTGGTGAGGCTATATAACACTCAGGCATCTGAGGATAGCCTCATCATCTGATAAGTCTGATCTCGAATAGGCAGACAGACATACAGGCAGAGACAAACAAACACTATATATATATATATATATATATATATATATATATATATATATATATATATATATATATATATATATATATATATATATATATATATATATATATATATATACCTCTGGCTGGAAGAAGGGGGACCCATAGCCTCGGAGGAAACCACACATAACGCATTGGAGGGAATGTGTATTCCCTCCAATACAGTTTCTGTGTGCTTTTCTCCTACCACCCCCTTCCCTTTTTTTTTCCTTTATTGAGTATTTAAAGGTTACAAAACATACAAGACAAATGCCTAAAGGTTATGGATCTCTTGAAGCTCCTCCGCTTCTGGACAGGAACCGAGGATGCAGCAAGCATTATATATATATATATATATATATATATATATATATATATATATATATATATATATATATATATATATATATATATATATATATATATATATATATATATATATATATTGGTGTATACTGGCAGCAGGTTTCTTTCAAACATGTTTCATTGAATATGACCGCATATTCTGTATTTATTATTTTCTGGTTTAGGGCTTCTATCCCTCTAACTATTTTCTTAGCATCAGGGCTTAATTGAAATAGGAGTTCTCCAAAACTCATTTTCGTACTTTTAAGGTGAAGAAAAGAAGTGATTTACTATAGAGTGTATTACACTTATTTGTATAATTTGCACGACGTTTCGAACCTCCATGGTTCATTCTCAAATGGACAGATCTTACAATACTAGTTGAGACTAGTTCAACTAGTATTGTAAGATCTGTCCACTTGAGAATGAACCATGGAGGTTCGAAACGTCGTGCAAATTATACAAATAAGTGTAATACACTCTATAGTAAATCACTTCTTTTCTTCACCTTAAAAGTACGAAAATGAGTTTTGGAGAACTCCTATTTCAATTAAGCCCTGATGCTAGGAAAATAGTTAGAGGGATAGAAATATATATATATATATATATATATATATATATATATATATATATATATATATATATATATATATATATATATATATATATATATATATATATATATATATATATATATATATGACTGAAAACTCACACCCCAGAAGTGACTCGAACCCATACTCCCAGGAGCAACGCAACTGGTAACTACAGGGCGCCTTAATCCGCTTAATCCGCTTCAGTCGCATATGGTCCTGGGGACCATTCAGGCTTGTTCTCATATATATATATATATATATATATATATATATATATATATATATATATATATATATATATATATATATATATATATATATAAATGGTTAAGTTCCAGGAAGAGCTCGAAGAAAACTGCAGATTCGGCATCGCATTTCTAACAATGTGCTCAAGTTAGATTTGCGTTTATTAGAATTGGAGATAATACAGATGTCTGGCTTTAGTAATTAAGAAGTCACACCTACAGAAGTTAATGACCACAAGTGGACCACGGGTCAGGTCGTGTGACTTGACCTTGCTTCTGCTAAGCTGATAATTGTCCAGCATACTGCATACATAAAAGCTAATGTGAGTGATGCTATTTTACGTAAGTATCAAGGTAACATTGAGAGCGTAAGACGGTGTGTGAAGGAGCATGAATACTTCGCAGCGTGAAGGGAAGAGAACTATCAGGGAGAAAGAGTCAGGCCATTATCACTATATAGCACTGGGAAGGGGTCAGGATATGGATTTGTGATGGGACGGGGGGAAGGAATGGTGCCCAACCTCTGGGACGCTCGGGGATGGAACACCGACCAGCATGGAGCAAGACCGTCGCTCTACCGTCCAGCCCCAAGCGTGAGACACTTATGAAGGCAATGATGCATCTTGAGTGGTGTCTCCACACCACAGTAACTGCAGGAGAAACATGGCATCTCCTTCCTCACTGGCAAGTCAATAACGAGTCTACCATGCACGCACCCTTGACGAGTCCTGTCAGCCCGTTCTCGCCAGTGTCCCCAACGTCAAGAAACTGTCGTAGAAAAGTGCCCCCTATCCTAACCTTCCAGAATACCCACCAACAAAAAACGGAACATTATGTCAATATCGCGAGCCGCTATTTTCCAGTACGACAGTTCTTGGCCTTAGGTAAAGTATACATCAAAATGCGACGTGTTACTAAGAGGACGGCTTGGTCCAGCCGCTCTCGGTCTCGGAGAAGATACATATATTCATAGTCGTTTGTTCCACTGTGATAACTAAATGTTTACTCTCACTAAACAATGCCGCGACGAATCCTCGTTTTCTCTTCTTCTTAGACGATGTCATGAACCTCCGTCCCGCACCCTCAGAGGCCCGTGACTGACCTTCCACACAGTCTCTGTGATGGGCCGTGACCGGACGACATTGGTCCTCACACCAGAATTATAAACAACGCGAACCAAACCTTGTGAATACTAGTAGTCGCTACTCACGTACACTATCAATCAACACACTCATCATGGCCGTCAGTGATAAGGCAGGAATGATGTAATGGGCGGAGCTGCGACGGGGGGCCACCAGCGCGTAGCTGGAGGTGGAGCGAGTTGACCTAGGTCGCTGGTGGAGGTCGGCCACACAAGAATGGCACGAGTCGTCCAACTATCCTAAGATGAAAAACACTGGTATAAAGAGATATTTGATATATCTGATGCTCGTATATATGTACAGTGTGTGTGTGCAGGACGGAATTCTCACTAGTCTTCTGGCCTCGATGATTTCTTTTGATGATTGCTTACTTTTGATGATATGTTTACTCTTACTTCTTTTTCTTACAGTATCAACTTCGCGAAACATGGAGGATAAATCTATCAAATCTTGAGCAGGTGTAGCTCACGTCTCCGTAAAACCCATGACCATCTGCAGGCGATGAGTCACAATAACGTGGCTGAAGTATGTTGACCAGACCACACACTAGAAGTTGAAGGGACGACGACGTTTCGGTCCGTCCTGGACCATTCTCAAGTCGATTGAGAATGATTCTCACAATCGACTTGAGAATGGTCCAGGACGGACCGAAACGTCGTCGTCCCTTCAACTTCTAGTGTGTGGTCTGGTCACCATGACCATCTTTTTTTTTCAGGGATATTCCTGCGCGGGCCCTAAGCCTCTGGCTGGCCCACTAAGTGTTGCTTGTTTCTGTTTTACTTGGGCGGAGTATGAGTATTTATGACTCGTATGGTCGCTTCAGTAAGATTTTGTCCCATGTGTTTAACAACTTCTTCTGCTCTGCTGAATCTAAATTGAAATCTTAGTCGTTTTGTAACTGTGCACTGTGTTAGATAATGTTCCAGTGGTCTGTTGTAGCTGTAACTGTGCACTGTGTTAAATAATGTTCCAGTGGTCTGTCGGGCATTTCTGCACAGTGCTGACATTTCCTCTCATCTTCCGGAACCTGTAAGCCTATTTCCCATGCACATGGGTATCCAAGCCTGATGCGATGTAAGTGTACTTCTGTTGCTCTACTGCTCCCTTTCATCAAACTAAGTGGTTCATAGTTGGTTGAATTCTTGTACCAACCCGCAGATCCTGATGTTGCAACTGCTGTGTTGTGGTCACTGTACATCTTTTGCATTGCTCTGTTTTTAATTACTTTCTTAATCTGTGATAGACTCTGTGGTATGTAAATGTCTACATTTCTTCTCTTAGTTGCAAGTATTGCAGCTTCGTCTGCAATGCCACTTCCTATTAATCCCACATGACTTAGCACCCAGTTGATAAGTTGATAAGATTGTCAAGGTACCGACAGTACCCGTCGGCCTTGACGTTTGAGTGTTTGCATTAATGATATGACATTTGTGATCAGATGGATGTTATCACATATATCTTCATGTTGCAAGGTCTCAATAGCAGTTCAAGAATCTGTATGTATGATAACATGTTGGTGTTCAGCAAGAGCATGTTCCAAAGCCTTTTGAATGACTAGCATTTCTGTTTGTAAAGTTGAACATCCATTTGAGAGTCTTAAACTATTTACAGAGTTTCCTGCTTTAACTGCAGCTCCGGTTTCTTATCCCTATTGGTCTACTGATCCATCTGTGAAGTATGAGAAGCTGTCAGATGCCAAGTTTGCTTCTATAAGCATCTGTGCAATATTACGTAGCAAGTGAGGATTGTTCCGTAGTAGGGATGTAGGGATGACGTCATATGGATGATTGAGAATTTTTGGGTCCAGTCAATCATATGGCGTTGGGGGTTCCAGGTAAATTTCCCAGTCATCCATACGCTGTCGGGTTTCCTGATAAATTTTTAATTTGGAGTTAAAGAATTCTTATGAGGAGAAATAATTTCATAGAAGTCCTAGAAATTTGTTAAGAAAAATTCATGGGCAAAGTTCGCTCCCTTTTGCAGGCGATGAGTCACAATAACGTGGCTGAAGTATGTTGACCAGACCACACACTAGAAGTTGAAAGGACGACGACGTTTCGGTCCGTCCTGGACCATTCTCAAGTCGACGACGAAACGTCGTCGTCCCTTCAACT